GAGGAGCCAAGCTGATGCCTCCCTCCCACGGAGGGAGGGGCCCTCCAGACAGCCTCACCAAGCTTAGGAACTAGATAGAAGCTCCTTCCTATGTCCTCCCTCACATTCCTAGATCCTTGGGTTACAGAGTGCTGACTATGCTCCCCACTCCCACCACAAGGCTGGCCACAGAACTAGTCCTGAGTCCCTATTGTCACTGGTCTCCTTGTGTTCCACAACCTGTCCCTGTGGCCAGCGTCGTCTTTAAGCCCTAAGGTTTATCGCACTTACTGGCCTGGTGCCACCGTATGTGACTCAGTGCCAATTCCGGCAAGTGGTAGCTACGCAGTTTGCTTCCTCTTTAGCGGGACCATACATGTTCAGGCACACCTCACCTAAATGACCCTTCTTCCACTCGCCCCAGAATTCTGGTTCAAGGGTCGCAGTCCCTGGTCACAGTTTGACCACAAAGGCCTGTCCACATTTTGCCCAGAGTGGCCTTGGTCACCACCATGGACTCCCAAACCCCATAACCTAATCAGAAGGAGGAAGCCCATCACACAGGGTGTCTGGGAGTTGCAGCAATGTGTCCTAGACTCCTTGATCTGCAAGAGGAACTAGGAGCCCCTCAGTCTGTGAATGAGGGCCAGAGGGGAATGGGGACTGGCCCTGCACATACACACATGCCTTCCTGCTGTGCCTCTTCACACCCTGTCCTCTCTGACCAGCTGTCTGGAGCCAACAAGCCCAGCACTTTTGATTTGAGGGTATTAAGAAAGAACTGAGAATGTGAATAAGGAATGCACTGCAGCAGCACATGCATCCAGGCCAGCGGCTACCTCAGACCATTGTCTGCAGAGGGCAGGTATAATGTGCCACAGCCTGTTTTGCCCTTCTTGTGGATGGCAGGCACTTACCTGGCCTCCATGCCCCAGAAAGTCCTGACTGACACACTGGTCTTCTAAAAAGGTAGACGAAAGACTGTCCAGAAGGTTCAGTGAACAAAGGGACCAATTCCCAAGCTGGAGGACCTGAGCTTGATCCTCATAGTCAACTCTGGAAGGTCTTCCTCTAACCTTAACGAATCCACTATAGTTCATGTGTACATGTCTACACACACAGGCACATGTGTGTGCACGTGCACACACTCACATATACACAAATACATCAAATGTAATACAAATTCTTGAAAACCAAAAAATAAAAAAAAAAAAAAAACTAAAGCAGAGCTTATCACATCCTGCTGAAAACCTGCAAGATCCCCCTGCACTCAAAATGCTTCTTCCAGCAGGGTGCTGTGGCTCATGGACCTAATCTCAGACAGAAGCAGCAGGATCTCTATGAGTTTGAGGCCAGCATGATCTACATAGCGAGCTCCAGAACAGCCAGGGATACATAAAAAGACCCTGTCTCAAAACAAATAAAGACTACTTGCCCTTGTCCCTGACCGAGAGCTGGCCCAACTGAGGAGGGAGAAATAAGGAACAAGGCTGAGCAGGGCTCATAAGGGTCAGTACTGCTTAGAAAACAACCAGGGGGAGATTGAAGACCTGGTGTGTAAGATGGAGTCACTTCCTGCAGTGGACAGCCCTGGCCTGACACAAGCCCCACTGATACACTCAAATGCATGCATTGTGCAAATGTGCACACATAAACACACAAAAGCATCTATACTTCCAGATACACATGCTTGCACATGCTCATGTAGAAACATGAACACATACAATTACAGGAACAAACACATGAACAAGTAAACATGCGCATGTCCATATAGTACACACAGATATAGAGAAAGATCTGTATAACATGCTTGTGCTTCTTGCTTCATGCTTTCGCTTCTTGTTGCTGTGGGAAGGAAAGGATTTATAAGGCTTGTATGTCTCAGTTCCTCTTTGAAGTGAGTCAGCACAGGAACACACAAGCTGAGGCAGATACCAAGGAGGAAAGCTGCTTGCTGGTTTGTCTCCTGGATCACTCACTCCCAGGTCTATTCTCCCACAGTTCTCTTAGACAGCCCAAGCATATTTAGGGATGCCTAAGGATAGTATCGCCCACAAAGGGGTGGCCCTTCCCACATGAATCATCACTGAACATGATTGCCCCACAGACAAGCCCACAGGCCAATCTAATCTACACAATTCTTGAGGTTTCCCATCCCAGGTGACTCTAAGTTGGATCAAGTTGGCACCTGAAGAGAACTTGGACACGAACATCTATACTGGACCCTACACTCCTTAGAGCCTCCTCCTGAAACCAGCAAGGAGATGGACTCATGACCAGCAAATGAGTTCAATCAGAGCTCAAGGTCGACACAAACCCCACAGACCCTCTACCTGATGAACTGGTTCTGGGTTTTGTCAGTACAATATAATGTTTCCCTTTTGTCTGAATCAGGAACCAACAAATACAAAACTTTTCATTTCAGATTAGTTTTAAAGTCTCAAAACTGTGAACAAGGAGCTGCACCAGGCAAGCTCCCATCCAGACCAGTGCCCTGTCTTCATCATGGAGAGACCACACCAGGTTAGCACCACAGCTATGGGCCCCTCCAATAGAGAGGGCCTGCACATCTCTAGAGTCAGAATATGAATGAGCTTCTTGATTTCTGGGGTCCTGGTAGAGAACAGCTCTGTCTAGCTATATGTCATCAAAGGTTGGAGAGTCTGCAAACATCCCATCCCTGAAGAGCTGGGAGATGTCAATGAAGGGACCTGGACCTGGCAGCAGCCTGTTCCTACCATGGCCAAGCCTGGGAGAAGGGACACTCTCAAGAGCCCTGCCTTAAACCTGGCACTCAAGCTGCAATGCTTCAAAGCCTAAGAGAGGTCTGGGAGGGCTGCTTGTGAGGGACTGTGTGCTGAGAGTAGGTCCACAGCACCTGATACCAGAACACTGTGGCCCTGAGGAGCCTGCAGCTAGATTGAGTGCTTCTACTAAACTCCAGGTTTATTCAAAGCACCTTTTCTTTACTTTTATTTTATGCTTTGTCTTTTTGTGTGTCTGTGTACCATGTGTGTGTAGTGCCCATGAAGGTCAGAAGAACACACTGGATGCTCTGGAACTTGATTACTAGCTACCATGTGAGTACTAGGAACAGAACTTGAATCCTCTGTAAGAGTGTGCATGCTCTTAACTGCTGGGCCATCCCTACAGCCCCCTGGGAGTCCAGAGCTTTTAAAATAAATGTCTGTATTGAGAAGCAATTCATATGACATATACTCCATCCATTTAAAGTGCATAATTCTGGGAGTCTAGTATATTCAAACATGTATAGGCAAGGTGGTTCATGCCTTTAAGCCCAGCATTCAGGAGGCAGAGGCAGGTGAATCTCTGTGAGTTCCAAGCCAGCCTTCTTCCGAAAGACCCCCGCTAGGAGAGACCTTCACTCAAGTCATGGGAGATTACAGCCACCCAGAAACTTGCAAGAGACGGAACTTGCTGCAAACTGCATAAGGCTTTATTTTGGGATCAGCCAGCTGAGGATGAGACTCACAAGAGGAGGCAGAAGTGTATTTAAAGGATAAAACCACAAACTAGGGGGTTGAGGGGGAATCATAAAAATATCAGAAGACAGTATCATAGGAACAGTGGAAAGTCCCCAGCCCATAATTCATTTGATCATGTGGGAAGCACCCTGTGTACTTATTTTTTCAAGAATTTAATCTTGTTTAATCATCTATCATGTGGCCAGCCAGTCCTTGGAACCCAGAGCCCAGAGCCCAAGAACCAGATGACCTGCATTTTCAGTTCCTCCCTTTTGTGGTCAGCTAAGTTCCCGGAACACAGATGGCCTGGCTTCAACCTCTATATGCTAGGGGGTCTCAAAAAATTTTATTCTTTTCAGTTTGTCTTGTGAGCTCCAGGCCAGCAGGGGATACATAAAGAGACCCTGTCTCAAAGTTCAATTAAATAAACAAGTGCATAGATAAATAAACCTGTGTGGATATTGCAGACACACCCATGCCCTCCAAAAAAACCCTCCAAAACCATGAGGAGTTTCTCCTTATCTATTTGTACCTTAGTCAGTGGCAACCACTAACAGCTTGGCTTATTATCAGGATTTCATACAGGATAACTTGCACAGTGATGGTGTGGGTGTGTGGTTGGTTGGTTTAGTTTTGGTCTGGCTTCTTCTGCTTGTGGCCATGGTTTCAGAGTTCATCCACATTCTACAGTGTAGCTTAGAAGTGTATTCATGCCTCCAAGTTGCCATGCAAGCACCCTACTGTGGGTTGGTGACAGAGCTTAGTTATAGGGCACTGTCTTGCCTGGTGTGTGCAGGGCCCAGAACTGGGGAAAATACTGTACAAATTTACTGTTTTTAAAAATCTATTTATGAGTTGGTGGACACTCAGGTCACTGAAGGGTTATCTGCTTGACTCTAAAAATGTTACCACAGAGACCTGGAGAGATTGTTCAGGGGTTAAGAGCACTTGCTGCTCTTACAGAGGACCAGGACTCAGTTCCTGCACCCACATATGGTGCACATGCATACATAGAGACAAAGCACTCACACACATAAAGTGAAAATTTTTAAATCTCAAGGAAAACTTTATGTACTACCATAAACATTGGCATACACATATCTGTTTGATCTCACACTGCTTATTTTTTTTTAGATTTATTTATTTATTTTATACATATGAGTACACCACCATTGTTCTCTTCAGACACACCCGATCAGGGCATCAGACCCCATTACAGATGGTTATGAGCCCCCAAGTGGTTGCTGGGAATTGAACTCAGGACATCTGGAAGAGCAATTGGTGCTCTTAACCGCTGAGCCATCTCTCTAGTCTGATGCTATTTAGTTTTGATTTGCATTTTCCTGATAACTAATGTCATGCTTGCTGGCTACTGGCACAGTTGTATACCTCTTGTTACTTGGATCCCAGGGAGTTCCCAGTATGGCTCCGGGAAGGAGGAGGAGGCTAGGGCAGGCCACACCCCACCGTTCCAGGAAGAAGGGCTACTTGAAAGCCTCAGCCTGCAGCTTCAGGGTTTCACTTCTGTGTCCTGACTTCTCCAGAACCGCTCTGGCTGGTGGCTCTGGTTACTCCCGGGTTGAACAAACAAGAGACCCCTTCCCAGCACCCCAACACGTCCTTGCTTTGTGTGGTGAGCCGAAATACCTAGGTAGGGGTGAAGATCCAGGTGAGCTACCCTACCACTAAGCCCCTCTCAGAGCCCAGCTGCCCCTACTCTGGTGTGGTCTCTACTCCATGGCCTGGATGCCTGCTTGTTAAGTTGGGGATTCAGCCTTCCAGAAGCCCCACTATACCAGACAGCTTGAAGAGACCCTAGCAGCTAGGGCCTAATCTCTATTGAGGCCACCCACTAGGGATACAGTGGGACCAGCCTGGTTTGTGCTTGTAGCTGGCAGAGGGAGGGTGCTCTTGGGGGAGAGGGGTGAGAAGGGAGGGGGGACGGGGCACTCTCTAAACTTCTGGGCTGAATGCTGGTTCCCTGGCCCACAAGTCCCTCCCTGATCCCCAAGGACCTTCTTGCCTCACTCTCCACCATTAGCCCAGAGACCGGGTTTTGTAGGGGTGTTACCTGTTGGTCTATGCTGCACAGGTTGTCTGCCTCAGGCCTGTTTTGGTCTATGACCCATGAAGGTTCGAGGAGGTCAGGTAACTCACAGAGCTGTACATGAGAGCCTGAAGGAACCACCGAACCCTGGAACCACCGAACACTGGCTTTGCTGTGGGCTCCTGTGCCAAGTCCCTTAGAAGTGAGGGCTCGAGTTCTTTCCCCACCAATGGCCCTCAGCCAGGGAGCACAACAGGGTATCTTAGACTTCAGCAGGTGGCCAGGGGTGACACACAGTAATTAATGGTGTGGATAGTGCAGGACCTGCTGAAATAGGCTATCTCCTCTTCCTCCTCAGTCAAGTGCCGGAGACCCCAGTGAGAGACAGATAAGTGAGCCACAGAGTGAACAGTGCCCTCTGTGTTGTGTTGGTCGGGTAGGATGTGCCAGGACTAACAAGGCAAGGCTATTCTGAAGGGATGGGGTCCTGAGTGCTGGGGGCAACTAAGTATGGACCTCTGCCATCCGGACCCAGGATCATGACATCAGCCTTTCAGAGAGCGGTCAAGAGTGTGATACAGGAGGTGGACCACGGCATAGAAGATCTCATCCCAGTGGACTGCCTTCAGAATTCGATCAGCTTTAAGCCCTACAGCCTCCTGAGCAGGAAACTCTCAAGCTCATGTTTCTGGAAACCCAGTTATACATTTCTCAACATGTCAATCAAGGACATCCTGGAACCCATCTCACCAGAACCAGGTATCTCCTTTACCCACTCCCCTCTTCCACATCCTGAGTCCCCAGATTGAATAGAAGAAGGGAGTGGGCGAAGCCCAGCCTGCCATCTTACTGGGCACGTTCAGCTCTACTCCTCTGGCCCTATTTGCAGAGTGGGGAGTTCTTTAAAGGCCCCATTGCTACAGAGGAAAGACAAGGCAGTGGCTACTGGAATACGACTGTAGAGCTGGTCTCGTTTTAGAACCGGAGTGTATTGGCCACTTCCAAGTCTCTGATGTCATCGATGGGAACATTCAGGGCAGTGTGGTGATGTCAGGCAGGGGAGAAGGGAGAATTGCTGGTGCGGCTGCAGTGTCTGACAGTTCCAGTGCCTCCATGAGTGTGTGTATACTTTCTGTGAATCTGCAGACCTGGTCACTCATTCAACGTGAAAGGTGAGCCCCAGAACGGATGACAGCTCTCTTAACCTCAGCAGCCATGCTTCTTGGAAAGGTTGCTGGGTTCTGGGCATCAGATGGGCTCTGAGGCAGTATCTCTCAGCACTGAACAATGGAAGCCCAAGAGGAAGGGAGCAGTATAAACAAAGTCAGGTGGGGAGGGATGTTAAACCTTGGTTACCAGGACTGTATCCTGAAGATCAGGATATCAAGGAAGGGCCTAAGTCCCTTGGAATCAGGCTGAGCTCCTGGTTGCTATGAAAAGTGGGTGATGCGGAGTTGGAACATTTATGAATCATACATAATGGAGTCCCTCCACAGGCACAGGCATTCACTGCTCTGTGTTTGAACTTGTGATTACCCTCACAAGCACCTAGACACTGTTGGGAATGCCCTAGAAGGGTTCCCAAGCCTGGTATCCACAGACTCCTGGATTCCCTAGCCTTTCTATCTCACCTGTCAGGAGGATGGTGGGGAGGGAGGCTGATCCATGGTGGGCAAGCCCTGGCAATCTTTCTGTAGGCACCTGCAGCAGCCTGAGAATACAATCCTGCAACAGCTTCGGAGTCGTGGGGATGACGTGTTTGTCATCACCAAGGTGCTGCAGACAAAGAAGGAGTTGCAGATCACCCAGGCCCACAGCCAGGAGTCCCAGGTAAGTTTACAGTGCCTGGAGCTTCATGCTTGCAGGTATGTTATGCTAACCCTAACACCAGCCTAGTCCTACTTGGGCACAGAGCAATGGCAGGAATCTTAGAAGCCAGGGGCAACATCCCAGGCAGTGATGGAAGACTCTTCTAAGACCCCTCCAGAAGTAAGCAATAGCCCCACTTGCCCAGTTATCTGGAACTGCTAAAGGCTGGGTCAGCCATTACCAATGACAAGCCTGTCACCAACACTCCACTCATAGCTATTCACTCCACACCCCTGAGCCCATATCCATCCTTCAGGGTGAAGGCAAGGGCCACCAAAGCCAGAACAAGATGGTGACCATTCCTGCAGGCAGCGTCCTTGCATTTCAAGTGTACAAACTGCTCATTGGCTCTTCATGGGGTGAGTGGCAAGGGACTGTCTCTAGAGTCCAGACTCTGTGGCAGAGAAGCGCTTGAGCTAGCCAGGGGATGCTGTGGGTATCTGGCTGCATGATCTCCCAGACAGGGTGGTAAAGTGTGTCAGGACTGAAATGTGGGTCGTAGAGGCAGGATCTCATGAGGTCCCAGGAGCCTTGGGGATAATGGATTGATGACCTGCTTGCTTCTTGCTGTTGCCAGGTATCCTTCTCCTCCCGGATGAGAAAGAGAGGACCTTTGAATCCTCCTCAGGTAAGATCCCAGATACTCTGGCCTTACATGCCCCATAGCTTTGAGGTGTTCTGTACTCAGGGCATGAGGTGGGGACACACCACACATACACATGTATACACAATGGGTGAAGCTCAACTCAGATGATGTTGCTGGGCCTGCTTAGCTTTCCATATGCCCTGGGCTGCCATTATTAGGAGGGATGGGTCTGGGAGGGTCCAGGGAAAATCTCATCCCTCTTTGACATGAGACAATGATCCCTGGGCCACTAATCAAAACAGCTCTTCCCCTTCCACCATCCTGATCTGTTGTCTAGACCATAGAAGAGGAGTGGACCTAGGGCACCATTGCTTTAATCTGCTCGCTGCACTACAGTTGACTGGTGAACAGCACAAATTCATGTCAGGTCAGTAACACCTTGACTACCCTGGAATTCCACGGCTTCTACATCTGCTCCCTGGACCTACCCCTCCTAACTAATGTTCCCCAAGACATCACGGACATCAGGTGGTACTGCCCTCAGTCTCTCCAGATGAAATCCCTGAGGAAGAAGAATTCAGGAAAGACTTCCAAGGCCTGTGTGCAGAGGTGAAGGCTGGCTCCTTAGAACTGGGGAACTTAGAAATAGAGGTGAGAGAACAGCTGCTAGAGGACATCGGGAGGATTTTACAGGACCAGCCCCGCCTGGACGCCTTAGAGGCCTCAGTGAGTGAGAGTGATGGTGGTGGACAGGGTCTGGACAAACCTGCTCAGCCTCATTTACTCCTGCCTCCCTCAGCTACGGCAGGGCCTGTGCAGTGGTGAGCAGGTGGAGCTTCTGGACAGCCCAGCAGGCTGCATCCTTGAGTATCTGGTGCTCTGTTCTGCAGAGCCGGCGCTGGAACTAGCAGGCTCTATCTTCTTTCTGTTGGGAGCACTGAATGGTGAGCAGCCCAAGGAGGCATTAGTAGGGATCAGGAAGGGAAGACTAGGTTCTATATGGGGCATTCTGGAACCCTCTCTCAGCCAAGATCTCTCCCCAGTGCTGAGTGAAACTCAGCAGCAGCTGCTGGCTAAGGCTCTGGAGAAAACAGTACTGTCAAAACAGCTGGAGTTGGTGAGTGGACCTAGCCTTCGGGGTGCAATGGGGCCCTGGGGACATCGAGGTTGACATGGGAAGGTGCTGCTTCCCTCAAGCTCAAACTACAGGCAGCATCTATAACCTCTTACCCTCCTCTGTTGGTAGGTGGAGCACATCTTGGAACAGAGTACCCCATGGCAGGAGCAGAGGTCTGTGTCCCTTCCCTCCAGGCTCCTTGGGGACAGCTGGGATGAAGAGGCCCCCATCTGGGTCTTGCTAGAAGAATGTGGCCTAAGGCTGCAGGTGGAACCCCCCCTGGTGCACTGGGAACCGACTTCTCAGGGCCCCACATGTGCTCTCTATGCCTCCCTGGTCCTATTGTCTAGTATAGGCCATGATCTTGATTAGCCTGCAGGCCTCCCTTCCAGCAACATCTCCATGTCCTACCTTCCAGCCAGGGCAGAATCTTGCCAAGCCCATCCTCTAGGAAGGCCAAGTACCCAACTCAGTCACAGGGTTAGAATGCAATGACACCTAGGAGTTGGAAAAATTTAATAAACGTACAAACAAAAGCATAGTGCTGCGTTTCTGAGGGATAATGGATCTTCTTTGTGTAATTGTAGAGGCTTTGCAAATGATTTTGGGTTAAAAGCATAAAGTCTCATTAAGGTGAGCTCAGTGAAGACAAACCTTCTGTGAGACAGAAGGGGTAAGAGCTCACTTAATCTTGATTTGAATTATCAGATTGTGAAAGGAGGGACTTCTTTCCTCTATCCAGAAGGCTGGACGCATATAGATTAGAAGTACTCCAACATGCTACACCTCTTACTCCTTTGAAGTAGTGCCACTTTCTGCTAACAAAGCAATCAAATACAGGAACCTGAGGTCCATTATTATGCAAACCACCACACCATCAGGAGAACTCCCTAGTAATGATATTACTTAAAAGGCCCCAGAAAGGCCTCAAATATCGGAGAGTCATGTTGCAGACAGGCCTCTCACCTTAGCATGCTCACACAGTGCTCAACAACTTTCTAGCCCACCATTCTCCCTTGAAAACATGTTACTTTATCAGGTCAGCACACAGCAGTGGTGTTTATCATGATATTTTCATGCACTTGTATGTTTAAACCTGGAGATTGTTCCCCAACTACACTTCCGTTCTCCACCATCCATCTGGTCTCTTTCTTCCTCATAGGATTCCTCAGGTCTACTAGCCACTATCCCAGGGATTCTCAACCTGGGAGTCATGTCTCTGTGAAGACCATCAGAAAACACAG